CTCCCGCCTCCCGCTCCCGTCTCAAACACGGAGGTCTCCCTCTCCGCAGCTGAGCACCCACGGCGCACGCCCGGCCTGTTAAATAGCCTGTAACCACTGTGTGACACAAACTCAGTGCTTTGGTCATTAAATAATGTCGGGCTTGGTTCGGGTTCGGACAGAAATATGCTGCCCATGCAGCACTCTAACACACACACACAAACACACGGAAAACCAGACATTATCATCAGTTTATAAAAACCCCCCGGACGCCCGGACGGGACGTGAAAAGTGGACATGTCCGGGCAAAAGAGGACGTTTGGTCAGCCTATTGTACAGACCTCACATACGGCTGTTTTGGAGGAGGGCGGCGGTCAGGGGTGAAATCAAAAATCAAAACAAAAGTTACGACGACATACAGACTGGAGACAAATGGTGGTAATCTGTATCTTCCACCTCATTAGTCTTTGATGTAGATCTGACTGAAAAGCAGCATCAGAGAGATGGAGCAGGGGCAGCTGGGAAAATTAGCCAGACTTTTATTAAACTGACAAGAAAAATCTAAATTGGTTCCTTTAGAAAAAGACACAGTTTGTACATATTTTCCCAAATTCCAGACCGTTTCCAAACCTTTAAATCATCAGCTGATTTGAAAAGCTTGGTTTTAAATCTGATGTTTATAAATAGTCCAGGATTCCAGATTTTGGTGTTTGGTTTGGTGCAGTTAGGTCATACGTGTAGTGTCCGCTAAAAATCTAAATCACTGTGTAGATTCTAGTGATAAAAGTCAACATATGACAAATGTGTAAAAGTCGCACTTCTGTATAAAAACTTTCAGTGTAAACAATTTCCAGATTCCATTCAGATTTAGAAATCTGTTTCCACACATTCCTCAGATGCTCCAGGAGTGTACTCAGCTGTAGTTTGTAGTTTTCAGTCACTTCCTGTGATGATGAACAGCTCTTTGTTTCACTCTGGTCACAGTTTATTGCACATCTTTGTCAGGCATCTCTGTTTCAGATCTGTGGAGGGAGGAGGGTGGAGACGAGGGTAAATGACAGTGGACACAGACTCTTCTGTCAGCTGCGGCTTTAATGAGGTCATCTCTGACACACTTGAAAAAAAAAAAAGCTTTTAAAGTAACTGGAGAGATGAGCTGTAATCCAAAAGTTCAGGTTATGTTATGTACAGTTTTGATACTTTGAATTTCAGTAAAAAACATGATTTAGTCAAGTTAAACTTTTGATAAACTGCAGGTAACCATGGTAACATTTGTGACGCTTCTAAAGAAACCAACCTTGTCATGAACTGACTACAGACATGGAGGAGGATTTAAACACACCCAACCGTTCTTCCCTTGGTCAGTGGAAAGAAGACAGAAGAGACATTGGGCCCTATCTTAAACCTTCTGCACAGTTCAGCACAACTGACACTGCTAGTTTCAGACCGGCGCAGGTGTCATCTCTGCAGGCCGCGCCTACGTTGTGCAAGTAGAAAAAGTACTTGTGCCCATCTGTGAGCGCACGAGCATGTAGGTCTTAAAATGAGACGTCGTCAGGTCAATGGTATTTTGAGGCAGCAGAAAGTCACTGCAGCATTGACTCCTGAAAACCTGCTCTAAACCTGTGGTGTGTCAGTGTCACTTCAAGTTACAGTTACACCTCAAGTTTAGTTGATTCAACACACATTAAACACACATTAAACACTGCTTGTTACTTGCAGGGACACACAGGTGGGTTGAAGGTTGGTGAAATAAAAACATCAATAAGGAAGAATTATGTTCTCTGAAATGTGAACGTAGGATGATACAGAAACTACCAAATGCTGTGTAACTACGTTAGAGGATTCCCTCCCTCTGAGCAACAGGGCAGTGCTGGATACCTTTTTTCATGTGCCCAAAATAAATTGGAGGAGGCGGCCAAAACCACAGGGACCAAATGGTCAACTATCCATCAAGTAAGTATAACTAATATGTCTTTATGCATGTAATACTGATACCAAGAATTGTCGTTTTTCTTCCGGCAACAAGCAAAGCTCTCGCGAGATGACATCACAGCCCAGAGGTAAGGGAAACGCTTAGTATGCTATTTACAGAGATAGCACTGGCGATCTGAACCGGTCAGTGGCGAAAAAAAAAACACTTTTAATTCGCAAACTTATACGGGACGCATTTGCCCCCATATCTACCTCGCGGCTGCCGGTTGCATCCGCCTCCCTCAATACTGAACCAATTTTAAAACGAGTTGTACCTATGAATCATACGCACACATACACATGGGGAAATAGGGCCCAGGTTGAAAAATACCGAAGTTATCCTTTAAATGTGTGAAATGACTTTCAGTGTGAGGAGTTCCAACATAAAAAGACACCCTGCCTGTCTTCACACCTCGCTGTGCGTTATGCTGTTCTACCTGGATCATAAGTGTGTTTTGATTTCACTGAGGCTCAAGATGACGTCATTCACAGCAATAAATTAACAAATATCTGAAAATTGCAAGTTACTGGCAAAGAAACCCCTAAAACAAAACAGAAATGTTATAAAAAGGTCAATGATGTTTACTTCACTTTGCTTTGATTTTTAATAATCGTTTCTAATAACTGGTTGCCAAACTGTTGAAGACACAACCTATTCCACATCATGATTTAGATTAAACATGTTGTGCTGAAACAATTAGTCCACTGACAGAAAATCATTTGCCAACTATTTTTATGACTGATTAAGTAATCAGTTAAGTCAGTAAATCATGTGTGCCTAACAATTACTGTTTCATGGCATCATTGTAAATTCAGTGGGTCTCATTTATTTAATGTCAGTGAATCTGTGAGTACATGTGCACATTAAAAACCTACACGAGAATCATGAACACCGCAGAAGACTCAGATTTGACCGTAGGCACGTTTATATGTTCATGAGTGCCAATCACTCATAAGCGCTCCTGCGAGTCAGCAGGAATATCACGTGACCACTGTACAAAGAGGTGAGAATTACCATGGACAGGTGCATCCTGTCGACCTGCAGACATGGAGCAAGGAAAGAAAGAAAGACAGAGAGAAAAAGAACAGCTTTTCTGACGCTGAGACTTATTTTAGGTGAAGTGGGGTTGAGAAAACATTTTGATTTTCTTCTGTTAGTAGTGGTGTGACAGGGACAGGTAAATCAAAGGCCTGGAAGGAGGTAACAGGTGCCGTTTACTCTCTGTTCTCCATTGTGAGAACCATCCAAGAAGTTAAAAGACAATGGTTCAATATGAAACTTGATGCAAAAAAAGTACACAAGCCTAAAAGACCCCACAACTACAGGAGGCTCCGCCCACTCACAGCTGCAGACAAACACATTGCTTGCATCATTGGAGAGAAGAGACAGCAACATGCCTCCACTGGATCAGTCAACAGCAAACTCAGAAGGTACGGTGATGTACTATTATATGCAACAAGTGGCCTTGTTTTTAATAGACGACAGGATTACTCAAAAAAGTGATAATTGATAATTGGAATTATTGTTATTCGGAACTCTAGACTGATGTAAATATCAACTTAACATATTGATCATGAGTCTGACTGCTACCAAACCTGATGTTTTCTGGTTTAACTGTGATGTTGCGCATCATGACGCAGATCTAAATGAAGCAGCGCCACACAGGACACTTCATCTAAATGATCTCTGACTGCTTAACTTCATTTCACTCACTGCTACTTTATGTCAATTTCAAATCAAAGCCCTGTAAAAAAAGCGAGTCTAAAAATACACACTGAGGACTAATTAGAGCTGGAGAGAGGGCTGATATGACACCCTGTGAGTCCTGTCTCTGGCCAGGCGGTGGGATCAGCTCTGGATGATCAGCGTGTCAGAAGCTGTGAGAGAGGCGTCTCTCTCCGCGACCTCTTGAGCCCATTAGCTCAGAGGATTCACGGCTGTGGCTCGGCGGCTTCCTGCAGAGCTGCTGCTCTAATGAGCTCTGATACCAACTCCCAGTAACATGGCTGACACGTCCCCATCAGTACAGGTGAAGGATGAAGTGTGCTCCCCAATTATTTCTGATTCGCACACTCACAGCTCTGTTTGTAGTCGACTGTGTTTTAAAACCACCAACATGACTGCTACTTAAAAAATGGACATCACTCCAAGTTATTCTCGATACTCTCAAAGCATCAAGCAACAAATTAGCCTGTGTGTTGAACAGTGCTTGTATCCTCTGCTCCATAAGTGTCTCATCTGAGGAGGGTGTGTTTTCTGTCTTTCAGTATTATAGTACAACTAGTCCATAGCCATTGGTAGCTTTGTCTCCTTCTACCTATGCCAGTCCTCAATGCCTATGTGCAGTTTCACATAGATTGACCACGTCAGTGAGTAGAAAAACGTGGGACAGACAGAATGACTGACTGACAGAATGACACACTGACAGTTTCCGTGATTATGTACAGCATACCATACCATGACTTAGTCATACCAAACATTAGAAAACAACACCAACATTGGTCCACAGGGGGAGCCACAGCGATCGGTCGCATTTTAGCCATTTTGAAGCATTTTTCTGTTGTTATAGCGCCACCCAGTTGCCAATTAGAGTTAAATTTCTCCAGTCACCTTGAGGCGTCCTGTTCTACATATCTACCAAGTTTAGTAAAAATCCATATGGCGGTTAGGCCTAGATAAGAAATGAGCTCTCTAGCGCCCCCATTTTGTTTGATGGGGTCAATAATGGAGGGGTCCCCTCAGATTATGTGTGGTCATATGCCTACAAAGTTGCGTGGTGATGGGTGAAACCCTTGAGATGTTATACACCTTTATGTGATGAGCCACGCCCTCCGCAATATTCATTGCCTTATAGAAGCTCAGTTTTAGTAAGTTTTCCAACTTTTGCCAAGAGGGAACTTTAGATATTGGTCCCTAGATTATGTTCACCCAGTTTCATGCAGATCGCTCAAACTTCCTAGGAAGAGATCCATTTGAAGTGTTTTTCAAAAAATTCAAAATGGCGGAAAATCTATATAAGCGGAAGTTATGGGTTCTTGAGGCAAATGTGTTCCTCATGAGGAGAGGCATCTCTGTGCAAAGTTTCATGTCTCTACGACATACGGGGCATGAGATATGCCCATTCAAAGTTTGACATTTCAATGGGTTGCTATAGCGCCCCCCTTTGGCCAATTGATGTAATATTGCTTCATTGGCATCCTCCCATGACCCTCTACCACTGTGCCAAATTTCACATGGATTGACCAAGTCAGTGAGGAGAAAAACATGGAACACACACACACACAGAGTTTTTGTCATTATATAGTAAGATACAGTGTACAGATTTAATATCTGAGCACTCACTGATCTGTAAAGTCTCAATAAAGCTTCACTTCACAGAGCAGAGTCAGAGCCTGGCAGGTGATGAGGATTTGCTCTGACAGTGTTTACAGAGCCGCTAAAATCGTCACCTTGGCTGCTATCGATGGATCAATCATACCTTCCTCTACAGTCCACTTACTTCTGGAGAAGGAGACTCTCCTGACCCGCCGACACACCTCAGACGTGTGTTTTTCATACCAGAGGTGGCTGTCGTCACAGTACCTGTGAGACAAGAAGATCAGTGTAACTCAGCTCAACACGAGTCGAGTTCAAACTTTAGGTTTAAAGACTCACTCAAAGATTATTTATGCAGGTTGGTTTTTACACTCTAGATTTACTTCAGTTGATTAGCTAACAGGCTAAAGGCTATGTAAAAGATCATGTCTGAATTGTCTGAACATTTATCCACCAGTGTAGTGGATAGCCTTTAAAGATTTACATTTAGACCTGATTTCATATAATAAATAATATCATTTTATTTGGCATATCAAATGTCAGAAATTCCTGCCAGAACATGCGTCTTTCTTTGTCCTTTATGGCCGCTCAAGGCACCCATACTGTAACACCAAGAACAGATAAGCATTACAATCCAAGCATCAGCTCCTGTGACCACGTTTTTTTATTGATGTCTAAATTACTATTATCTGTTAGATGCTCTTCTTGATCAGGCCTTCACAAAATAACACAACATAAAATACGCCCTGACAAAAGGTCACTTTGGACATCAAGAGGCAGACGGCAGGTGCTTGAGCCCCCTCAGACCCCCCTCTGCACGTGCCTGTTATTTTTTGTTGTGCTTTTCAAAACAGTCCGATCATACAAAATTCAGTTTTCACTTCTTTTTGTTTGCCCTCCCTCTTTCTCTCTCGGCTCCTCCAGCTCTCTGGCTCTGCAACATCTAGATAATTAAAACCCCAATCTGCTGCAGTGGTGTCAGCTTAGTGTAGGATGTGTGAAAACCTTTTCATGCGCGTCTTGTGGCTGAAGGGTCTGCAGAGGCACTGGGAGAAGAACTTGCACAGCTCGAGGACACAGGGCTGCAGCTTGTGAGCGCTGACGGTCGTCGTGCTGCCGGAGAGCGAGAGGTCAGTCAGCTCCGGCCTCCTCCAAGGACAACCTCTCAACAGACAGAGGGAGAGGTCACGTCAGTCACGAGCAAACTCCGATCCACGTTTACTACCTGCTTAATTACTTCGCCTGCTCTGCCAAACAAAAGCAAAGTAATTAAGAGGTTAATAACGAAGATAAAAGATGATCACACAGGTAACAGAGTAAAACAAAGACATTATTATTGACCTCTGGAAGCCCCCTGTGGGGATCTGGAGACTTTATGTGTTGAATAAATCACCCTCACACCCGTCCTTCAAATTCTCTCATTGTATTCATTTTGCATAATGACAATTCAGTACTTAAATTCCCATTAAAGGAATCACTGGTGCTGATGCATTCTAATCAGAATTAATGCATTGCAGGTACATTGGCTCCTAATTACCATAAAAATACATATTCAAATGTGAATTTTAATGAGCTACATCTTCACATTCTGCAGTTGTTTGCTCATTTTGCAGCTGATTAGTTCGGCAATATCCAGAGCAGCAACATTTTTTAAAAGCAAGCTCAGACAAAAAGATTGTTGACTCTTAGTCTTCATCTTCGACGCCTCCTCATTTTGTTTCTTTCCCCTTCTACGATTCATTAGTGTCAGTTCAGCGTGATGCACACAGATAACAAGTGCATTTTACTTTGGAACATTTCACAGGTGAAGACACAAATTCACCACGTTGTGTGTGAGTTTTTAATCCATAAAGAATTATGTTTCACACCAGATAAATCCAATCATTTATCCATCACAAAATACAAGTCCAGTTAAATGTGGTCACATCAGCTCCGTTAGCTTGTGCACTGTCGTTTAGTCCGTTATTGTGTCTTCTTACATCGTTGGCTGCTGCTCAATACTTTGCCATGTTTCAGGATTGTTCTGGTAATCCATGGTTTCTGGTTGTGGAGTGATTTAACTGTTCTGCCGCATGAATCAAAGGATATTACAGTTCCTCATAAACATGGTAAAAGACATTTGGCAGCAAGAGTTATGTCGTATACACAGTTAGTGACCTCCCACCTGCCTTATCTTAGCAATCCCAAAACCCCAGCTCGCCACAATGTTTTTATAGTTCAGTGGAATAAAAAAAAAAGTGTACTAAGTGTTTTCATGTTCATATGACACAGAATTAAATGCTCAAACAAAAACGAAAAAGTGATGTTAAACTGACATAAAATTCCTGTCAGACAAGGGTCATGTGACATATTTATGTGACACGTGTGTGTTTGTGCGCAACACAACATAGACGAAAAAACAAGATTCAAGTGACACCCAGAGCGGCCATGTTGTGCTGCTTCATTTGATCTGTGTCAATTACAGATTCAATTTGCAGTCGTAACACACTGAACATGTGGTGCAGACAGAAATAGTGAAGGTGGGCGGGAGGTGCTGATCAGGGGAAAGAATGTGGAGATAAAGGTAGAAAAGGGTTTATATAGAAAACAACAGGAACAGGTGTTTCAATGTGCATCATAGATTACCAGTGTGTGTTGCCATTAAGAGTCTGCAGCCGCACCCGCAGCTCAGTGAGACTGTACTTACATCATGTTTACGTCATATCACAATTATCAGAACTGTCAGTTTCTCACTGGCTCTCACGCTTTTTTTGTTTTGTTTGTTTTTTTAAAGCTACGATACGTCCAATTTTGGGCCTTCTACCCAAACTTAATGGATATACTGCTTAGGTGCACAATCTTTTTCACCCTCACACAACCAACTCTGCAATAGAGCTGCAGTGATTAATAGATTAGTTGTCCTCAAATTTACCGTCAACTAATTTGATAATCGGTTTAAAAAACGTTTTAGAAAATAAAAGTCAAAATTTCTCTGAATCCAGCGTCTTAACTGTGAATATTTCCTGTTTTTTTTTACTCCTCTATGACAGAATTTCTTTGGGTTGTGGACAAATCACGACATCTGAGTGCTGATATTTTTTCACAATTTTCTGACATTGCAAAGATGAAACAACTAATCAATGATCCAGAAAATAATCCACAAATCAGTTAACAATGGAAATAATTGTTAGTTGTAGCCATAGCAACCATACAACCATCCTCTGTCATCTAGAGAAATAAGTAGAATAAGTAGAAACACTAGTTCAAGCACAGCTCTGATTTGAGCTAAATGCTAACATAGTAGCATGTTATCTATATTTAGCAGGTGTTCACCATCTTATTTAGCATGACAGCAGGCTAACATTGGATAAGTGGCATTAAAATAATAGCTGGGGCTGCAGTATTCCACTTGATGGTGCTAAAGGGAAAGTCCCTTGATTATCAAAGTCCCGAGGATAAATCCTCTGGGGACCATGAATGTCTGTAAAGAATTTTATGGCAATAAATCAAACAATTTTTTGACCAACTGAACCAACTTGGAAGAAACGCTAAGCCTACTACACTTATCTTTTTCCTTGAGAGAGGAACAGACGACTGCCCTTGAAGCCTTCGTTTCCAGGAACGACGTTTTTGCTGTTTTGCCGACGGGATATGGCAAAAGCATAATATATCAGTTAGCCCCACTGGTCGGCAAACAAATGGGGCTTAGTGCAATGAATACTTCACCTTGTTTTTTGCTCTGATTGGCCATCGTGCTATCCAAATGTGTGCAGCGGCATTTGAAATGCCTCACTTAGTGCCGCCCCTTGGGTAGGAAGGGTGTATCGGTGAGGGTCAGACTCAAAATCTTTCTAGATTTGAGTCTGGATTTCCAGGCTAGCAACGCAACTCAGTCAATCAATCATTTATCCATCACATGGAAATTATACAAGGTACCACGCCAGAGACATGCAAATCCATCAGCTCCTTCAACTTGTGCACTGTAATTTACTCCTTTTGGTGTCTTCTTACATTTTTGGCAGCTGCTTTATGATCGTCTATGTTTCCATTTGGTTCTGGTAATCTAGGTTTTCTGGTTGTGCAGTGATTAAACTGATCCTAACTCAAACATCCCGCTCCTCCCGAACATGGCAGCACTGCACTGCAGTGATCCATAGCAGGAACAGGACAGCATATCACATCTCTCCTCTCACCAGAGTCCTCTGCTCCGTCAGACTGGCATGTAAAAAAAGAGTCACCAGGTTGGATGGCACTTTCCTAGATTTTGCCAAGTCCGCGGTGAATCAAAGGATATTATAGTACCTAATATCTTGATGGAAACTGATGCAGCAGGAAGGTCATCCAGTTTATTTTCCAACACCTGCACAACAGCTAGCAGGATGCTAGTTCAGCTGGTGCCCATCTTTTCCTCAATGCTTACTGATACTTGGACCTGGCTAGCAGCAGAAAAGAGTGAATTAATTTGCTCATCCCTGATTAGTAACTTGCAGCCGCACGCTATCACCGTCCAACAGCAACCACAAAAAGCACCATCCAGATTTGCAGACTAGACATAAGAGCCTAAATGTAGCACACATTTAGCAGAGCTGAGAGGCGACTGGAAGCGCCCGCACCTCATGATGCATGCGGTACCCTCCTGCGTCTGTTTTGGACGTCAGGGAAAATTGATGCTTGTCACATGCACGGTGTCTTTTAAAAATAAACCTCATTTTCACAGGACATGTACAGTTTTTCCTGCTTACATGAAAGTCTGGAGTTCATTGGACTTTCTCACTCTTTATATTACAGCAGTTGCTGGCGGCGTTACAAACTGCCACTGTCTGACGCTCATCATACCGCCGCGATGGGTGTCTCTGTGCGTCCCTGTTTGACACGGACACCCGCTGACAAAGTGGTGGTTTTTGATGAGTTTGGTTGTTGCCTGCTGCCTCTACAACTGACGCACCCGGTGTGTATCGCATCGCTACGAAAGATGGCTCGGTGCGTTGGTGCCTGACGCCGACATCACTGGCAAAGCAGCAGAATTTGACGAGTGTGAGAACAGGCCGGCAATAAATGCAACTTATCACACGCTGTGTTTCACCTCAAATCACCTTGCAAACCTGCAACACAGCAGCAAAACTTTAACACGAGATGACCTGCAGTGTGCGCACACTTCAACCATCTACAGCACAGTGGACCAAAGCTACTTATGACGAGTGTGTGTGTGTGTGTGTGTGTGTGACCCATCTTCTATGAGACGTCCACACACAGACTCGACAGAGTGCAGAGATGTGCAGCTGGGCCACAAATGCTCATTTTACTGCACACTAATGACTCGGTGACAAATTGCACAGGATGCTCCGGCCTTCTGTTTGTTGCCAGGCAGAACTCGGTGGGGGAGCAGCTGCTGTCTCTACAGTGAGATGTTACTGCCATCTACTGGTTCTGCTGGGAAATGCAGGGAAATATCAAATGTAGTGTATCTTCAATATTCAGCATTTCTCTCACAATAACTTAAATACATCGTTTGAATGAGAGTATAGGCATAAAATAAAAACTGTGTGGCTGATTTATTTATTTGGTTTATGAATAAACTCATTAAAATTGTCAAAAACAGGCTCTCTGTGGTGCAAGTGACAGTTTATTAAAGGTAGTTTACTTGTTGTATTAAATTTTGATTTCAGATTATTTTGGCATTTTTATGAACCCTCAAAGGGCACACTAGTTGGGTGACCTATACACAACAAAAAAGACAAAGTCAGGCAAAGTGTGGAAGATAAATGGCCACAAAGACAGCAACACTACACACGGACTATTAATCAATTAATTAATTAATAAAAGGTCAAATATAAATGATGCATCCTACAACAGGAAGAATGGAAGAAAACCTTATGAACTGCGTCCAAAATACAATCTGGACTGGGGATGATAATGATTAATCGACGACCGATTAGTTGGTTGACAAGAATATGATCCAACGTATCGTCAAACAAATATCTGACTCTGAAATAAAAACAACATGTTGTATCCTATCACATTTTAGCTTTCAGCAGAATGGTGTATTTTGAAAGTATGTTTCATGACTAGCGTCAGCAAACAAATGGCACATCTTACTATATAATGACGAAAACTTTGTGTGTGTGTGTGTGTGTTCCACGTTTTTCTCCTCACTGACTTGGTCAATCCATGTGAAATTTGGCACAGTGGTAGAGGGTCATGGGAGGATGCCAATGAAGCAATATTACATCAGTTGGCCAAAGGGGGGCGCTATAGCAACCCATTGAAATGTCAAACTTTGAATGGGCATATCTCATGCCCCGTATGTCGTAGAGACATGAAACTTTGCACAGAGATGCCTCTCCTCATGAGGAACATTTGCCTCAAGAACCCATAACTTCCGCTTATATAGATTTTCTGCCATTTTGAATTTTTTGAAAAACACTTTAAATGGATCTCTTCCTAGGAAGTTTGAGCGATCTGCATGAAACTGGGTGAACATAATCTAGGGACCAATATCTAAAGTTCCCTCTTGGCAAAAGTTGGAAAACTTACTAAAACTGAGCTTCTATAAGGCAATGAATATTGCGGAGGGCGTGGCTCATCACATAAAGGTGTATAACATCTCAAGGGTTTCACCCATCACCACGCAACTTTGTAGGCATATGACCACACATAATCTGAGGGGACCCCTCCATTATTGAGCCCATCAAACAAAATGGGGGCGCTAGAGAGCTCATTTCTTATCTAGGCCTAACCGCCATATGGATTTTTACTAAACTTGGTAGATATGTAGAACAGGACGCCTCAAGGTGACTGGAGAAATTTAACTCTAATTGGCAACTGGGTGGCGCTATAACAACAGAAAAATGCTTCAAAATGGCTAAAATGCGACCGATCGCTGTGGCTCCCCCTGTGGACCAATGTTGGTGTTGTTTTCTAATTTTTGGTATGACTAAGTCATGGTATGGTATGCTGTACATAATCATTGAAACTGTCAGTGTGTCATTCTGTCAGTCAGTCATTCTGTCTGTCCCACGTTTTTCTACTCACTGACGTGGTCAATCTATGTGAAACTGCATATAGGCATTGAGGATTGGCATAGGTAGAAGGTGACAAAGCTACCAATGGGTATGGACTAGTTCTAATTATTTAACAAGGTGGCCATCTTGGAATTTGAAAACAGAGTGTGGCGGTGACACTGGAAAATGAAGCAGGCAAAGCATTATTTCGTTATATTCAGTGTGTTTCGTATGTTTAGGCCTCTACATCTTTATATGTTTCATAGGCAATGCAGTGCTGTCAGGGAATAAACAACATGTTGGTCGGAGCTCTGATTGAGAATAAAAACACATTTGGAATTTTTAGGTATAAGCAAAGTTTTTAGTTTTTTTCTTATATCACGATTGATAGATTAATTGATCAATAATCTTAATCTTAATCTTGATCAATTAAGGAAAGTGCTTACAATCTGTAGTCCTAATGTGGACCTTTTTTTGAGGCCAATTTGCACTGATGGAAGATTTCGTTGTTCATTCTACATTGCGTGTTTTGGGTCTGTGTTGGTTTGTATCATCTTTCTGGTTTTGGTAAATCGATTCTGAGAGTATCTTGGATATTGGGGATCAGATTGACAATCTAATAGACCAAACAACTGATTGATTAATCAAGAAAATAATGAAAAAATGAATCGACAACAATAATCTTGGATATCAAGATAGATTGTGAAGCTAAAAAAAATCCCTTAAAACTGACATACATGAAGTTCCCTTAAAAAAAGCAAATGTGAACTTAATGGTTTGACATGTTAATTATGATTTTTAGCATGTCTGAAAAACTCATGATCACGTGCAATTAAGTCATGTTTTTTACGGGTTAGGGCTACAATGATTAATTGATTAGTTGCCAAATATCAAATCAATCACCAACTCATTTGATAATTAGTTTGAGAAAGTTTTTAAGATAAAAAAAAAAGATCAAATTATCCGATTTCAACTCTTTAAGTGTGAATAATTTCTGGTTTCTTTAGTCTTCTACGACAGAATATCTTTGGGTTGTGGACAAAAAAAGACTTTGGAGGACGTCATCTTGGGCTTTGCAAAACACTGATTGACATTTCTCACCATTTTCTGAAATTAGGCCAAAATCGACAGATTAATCAACAATAATAATGAAACAATAATCTTGGATATTAGGGGGTATTTTTTTTATTTATTTTTCCCACTATTGACTGGAAGCAAAATTCTTTCACTTAGAACTGAAATCTTGTTTAGTTCTCATAAAAAAAGAAGATGTAAAATTATGTTTTCATGTGTGAATTATGATTTTTGAAAACTGCATGACATAAATGCATCTTTTTATGTATTATTAATAAAATCTTACCCATTACCTCAGTTGGACTTGTGTTAAAATCACGACTTATTTTATACAGCATTTGTATTTCACTCATCGTTACTGATATCCTATTGAAACCCCTCATGTTCATACTGCTCTTACTTTTAAGCGTTATAATTTCAGGATTAATTTCACCTCTTTGATTGTGAACTACGCAGCTTGTATTGATTATTTCTGTGCCTCAGATTCTCTTTTCCCTCCCGACATGCTTAGTGATCATGCAGCACACAGACGAACGCTGAATATTTGGTCTTAATTTGCTTTTAACCTTTGCTGCTAAAAACCATCAAAGCTTTCACATAAAGGGGGCTGCGCCTGCGTTACCATAGTGACTATCTCAGCCTCCTGCATGGCTCCCTCTCTCCTTCCCATGCACACACACACACACACACACACACACACACACACACACCCTTCCCCAGGCTTAAATTGAATCAGTATCCGTTGGTGTGTCCAGAAATGACAGTGAATGGATGTGATGTGATTACAGTTTGTTTTGTGAGAGCAGGTCAGCAGTGAGAGTCAAACTGTTCCTGCTCAGACAGCAGAGCAGAGCAGAGCGGTTCACAAACACAGCTCCTACTATTTGTCAGCAATAATTAAACATGCGTTTGATGGTTTCTACGCCTTCAGAGTCTCGGGGTTGTAGGTTGTCTGGAAAGCGAACAGATGTCCTTTTTAAAGTTTGACTGTCATGTGAAAGTAGAGTGCGGAGGGGCTAGGATGGGTAGTTGGGGCATATGAGGTGTCTGACTTCATAACTTGTGTCTTTCCAACCATCAACACTGGTGTCTTCTAACCATTGATCATCTGTCTGTTACCTGAATCACATCGTTTTAACCTCGCCCACATCAGACCCATTGGGTTAGCGGGTCAGAAATCTATCTATCCAATCATGCTGGAAGGCACTTACAAAAAGAACAATTTCATCGTTTAGGTCAAGTTTGCAGCTCATTTATGACCCATTATTTGCTCTGGTTACAGCATGCAAGACTCTACATATTAGGTATCTGTATTTATAGATAAGACAAGATTATCAAAAGGAATAGAGTAGAAACTCCTTCTGCCACTTCAAAGACTTCAAGGAACAACTGACAGACAAACACAAAAAAGTCAGAAACAAATGAACTGCGTCATTAAATATCAATATCATGTCAATGTTCACTAAATAAGGATATTCATATATGAATTTTCAAGCAAATTTTAAGGTTCAGAATCTGCTCTGGCTAAAAATGAACCGGTGGAAATGAGAAAAGATCCACATGTGAACCGTCAGCATCAAAAACACCACAGTGGGATATGAAAAAAAAAAATGGAATTACTGTGCTGTGGTTGTATGCCACCACGCACCAGTCAGTTTACATCCATGTCTGTGAAAACATGGACGCTTCACACACAGAAGACCTAAACAATCCTGAGATATGATGTTGAATGTGTATTTGTGATGACACACTGACCTTGACCTTTGACCTTCGACCACAAAATTCTAAGCAGGGTATTCTTTAGTTCAAGTGGATGTTTGTGTCAAATTTAAAGAAATTCCTCCAAGGCATCAGATGTTCACAAGAATGAGACAGATAAGGTCACACTGAGCTTGACCTTTGACCTATGACCACTAAAATCTTATCACTTCAGCACTGAGTCCAAGCGAGCCTTTGTGTCAAATCTGAAGAGATATCACATTCAAGAGAATGAGATGGATGCAAGGTCACAGCTACCTTGACCTTTGACCACCAAAATCTTATCACTTCATTCTTAAGTCCAAGTGAACGTTCGTGCCAGATCTAAAGAAATTCCCTAAAACTGTTTCTGAAGTATCGTGTCTACCAGAGCAATATGGATACAAGGTCATGGCAACCTTGACCTCTGACCCTTGACCACCAAAATCAAATCAGTTCATAATCATGTCCAAGTGAACGTTTGTGCCAAATCGGAAGAAAGTCCCTCGTGCTGTTCTTGAGATATTGCGTTCATGAGAATGAGATGGATGTACGGTTGCAGCGACTTTGACCACCAAAATCTAACCAGTTTATCCTCGAGTCTAAGTGGTCATTTGTGTTGTGTACGGATAAATAAACAACCCGAAAACATAATGCCTCCATCGCTGGCGCAGAGGCATAAAAAACCTTTTAACTATCTTGACTGAATTGTCCCTTTTGTTCCTGCCTGTTCACAAACACCCATACTGCCAATTTCTTCCGATGCAACACCAGAGCACAGACAGTGAATTTCACTACCTGTATAATCCCATTAAATTATACTGATAAACCTCCTGAACCAAAACTCTTTACCTGGTTTTTCTGTTTCCAGAGACTTGCTGGGTGTTGTAGTTATCCTGCTTAGAAGCCCTGTAGTCCTTCTCGACACAGTAAATCCTGCCGTGGGATGGACGGGTGAAAGTCTTGTGGTATGACCTGTCAACGTGGCGTGCTGGGCCATCATACTTAGCTGATGTGTAGATGTAGTTAGCCGGGTCAGACTAATAACTGGTAAGAAGGTTGTGAGTTTGGTTGATGCTGTGGTCAGTGTGGTTGTTGATGGAGCTGTTACTGGGGTTGTTTGAGCTGTTACCATGGTCGATCGAGCTGTGACTGTGGTTGATGGAAACCTTACTGTGGTTAGACGAGTTGTTACTGGGATTGATGGAGATGTTACTGTGCTTGATGGAGCTCTTGCTGTGGTTGATGGAGATCTAACTGTGGTTGGTAGAGCTCTTACTGTGGTTGATGGAGCTCTTACTGTGGTTGATGGAACTCTTGCTAAGGTTGATGGAGCTCTTGCTGTGGTTGATGGAGATCTAACTGTGGTTGGTGGAGCTCTTGCTGTGGTTGATGGAGTTCGTACTGTGGTTGGTGGAGCTCTTGCTGTGGTTGATGGAGTTCGTACTGTGGTTGGTGGAGCTCTTGCTGTGGTTGATGGAACTCTTGCTAAGGTTGATGGAGCTCTTGCTGTGGTTGATGGAGTTCGTACTGTGGTTGGTGGAGCTCTTGCCGTGGTTGATGGAGTTCGTACTGTGGTTGGTGGAGCTCTTGCTGTGGTTGAAGGAGCTCTTGCTGTGGTTGGCGGAGATCTTGCTGTGGTTGATGGAGCTCTTGCTGTGGTTGGCGGAGATCTAACTGTGGTTGGTAGAGCTCTTACTGTGGTTGATGGAGCTCTTGCTGTGGTTGATGAAGCTCTTACTGTAGTTGATGGAGCTCTTACTGTGGTTGGTAGAGCTCTTACTGTGGCTGGAGCTAAAGCCGTCGTTACAGACGCAGTGGTGACTTGCAGGGTGGTTTCAGGTTGCGTTGACGTGACTGGTTGTAAAATTGTTGGCACTTTTGTAGCTGTTGTCTGTGCTGTCATCACTGCACGTGTTGTCACTTCCTGTACTGTCACCTCCTGTGTCCTCTCTCTCGTTGTTGTCTCCGGCCTGTCCACTGTAGTTTGACTTTGTGGAATGGTGGTTACAGGCTGTGGAGCTGTCGCCAGTGGCTGGGCAGTGGTGATCTTTGCTGTTAAAACAGCTGTTTGATCCATTGTTGTTGGTGAAACTACAGAATCAAACACAGACGAGAAGAAAAGACAAAGTCTGTTTTACTGTCTGGAATAAGATGGTGGGACAAAACAAGACATTTGAAGTGTGTATTTTTAACTATGTAACATTTTATTGACTAAAGAGTGAACTGAAAACACAGTTGCAGCCCCACAACTACCACTTAGAATTCTTACTTTCACATGGTTCACAAGGTTTTACTTGTTAAAAGTCCACTGTGTTGCATTTAGGGACGTGTATTGGCATAAATGAAATATAACATAATAAGTGTAAGTGTAATCACCTGAAAATAAGAATTGTTTTTCTTAGAATGGGATGTTTACATCTACGTAAGGAGTAGCCATTTTATATCTACGGAGATCGCCATGTTTCACTGCCATGTTTCTACAGTAGCCCTGAACAGACAAACCAAACACTAACTGTAGACAGGACCATTGTAATTTTTGCATTTTCATGTCGGCTATCATTGCAAGCAGCCGCTCTGTGACCAGAGGGTTAGAAAAACCCCAAATGTCTAACATGAAACTGCTTTATTTATAAAACAACGTGTAGAGTCATACTAAAAAATGTATGTATGGACAAAAGCCAAAAATGGCGTGCGCCAAACGATATTCGACAATTTCTACAATCAGGCTTCCACCTCACCATTTGCCTCACAAATTTCCCGTCTCCGACCTGTTTGTAAGCATGGGTCAAGCTTCTCGCATCGAGTCTGTTTTTATATATCAGAACTTTTCCTTGGGAAGTGGTGTACGCCTCTTTCAGGCCTCGTTTTGTGCGCTCGCAATGCTTATAAAAGACACCCCTGGTGTGTTTGTTTTGGAGAGGCAGAGACCTCTGTGGATAATTCAGCCCTTGGTAAAATCTTCCTGAACTGTCTGTGGGCTGTCCTGGCTGACATGCTTCTGCAACATTGCGGTGGTGGTCCCCATTTTTTAAAAAGGGGACCAGAGGGTGTGATCCAACTACAGGGGAATCACACTCCTCAGCCTACCCGGTAAGGTCTACTCCAGGGTGCTGGAGAAGAGGGTCCAGTCGATAGTTGAACCTCAGACTGAGGAGGAGCAATGTGGTTTTCGTCTCGGACGCAGAACCGTGGACCAGCTCTTTACCCTCACCAGGGTGCTGGAGGGGGCATGGGAGTTCGCCCAACCAGTCCACATGTGTTTTGTGGATTTGGAGAAGGCTTACGACCGTGTCCCCAGGGGCATCCTGTGGGGGGTGCTCCGGGAGTATGGGGTTGGTGGCCCCTTGCTAAGGGCCATCCAGTCCCTGTACCTAAGGAGCATGAGTCTGGTTCGCATGGCCGGCAGTAAGTTGGACCTGTTCCCGGTGAGGGTTGGACTCCGCCAGGGCTGCCCTTTGTCACCGGTTCTGTTCATAACTTTCATGGACAGAATTTCTAGGCGCAGCCGAGTGGTGGAGGGTTTCAGGTTCGGTGACGGGAGGATCTCGTCCCTGCTTTTTGCGGATGACTTGGTCCTCCTAGCTCCATCGAACAGTGACCTCCAGCTCTCACTGGGGCGGTTCGCAGCCGAGTGTGAAGCGGCTGGGATGAGAATCAGCACCTCCAAGTCTGAGGCCATGGTCCTCAGTCAGAAAATGGTGGATTGCCCACTCCAGGTCTTGGGGGAGGTCCTTCCTCAGGTGGAGGAGTTTAAGTATCTCGGGATCTTGTTCACGAGTGAGATTAGGATGGAGCGGGAGATTGACAGGCGGATTGGGGTGGCGTCAGCAGTGATGCAGGTGCTTAACCGGTCCGTTGTGGTGAAAAGGGAGCTTAGCCAAAAAGCAAAGCTCTCGATTTACCGGTCGATCTATGTTCCAACCCTCACCTATGGTCACAAGATCTGGGTAGTGACCGAAAGAACGAGATCGCGAGTACAAGCAGCCGAAATGAGTTTCCTCCGCAGGGTGGCTGGGCTCAGCCTTAGTGATAGGGTGAGGAGCTTGGACATCCGGGATGGACTCGGAGTAGAGCCGCTGCTCCTTCACATCTAGAGGAGCCAGTTGAGGTGGTTCTGGCATCTGGTAAGGATGCCTTCCGGACGCCTCCCTTGGGAGGTGTTTCGGGCATGTCCAAGTGGGAGGAGACCTCGGGGCCACCCCAGGACACGCTGGAGGGATTACATCGCCCGGCTTGCCTGGGAACGCCTCGGAGTTCCCGCGGAAGAGCTGACGGAAGTGGCTGGGGAGAGGACTGTCTGGGCCTCTTTGCTGAGGATGCTGCCCCCGCGACCTGGACCCGGATAAGCGGAGGACGACGAGTATGAGTACGAGTACGAGTACGAGTAAATAACTGATGGAGGCAGCAGTAGACCAGCAGCTCCTGTGATCAGCAATCTTAAATCTCTGTTTTTCTCAATGGAGTCTGATGTTTTAGATGAGACCGTAGATGGGGAACTGAAGCTGTTGACGGCTTTCTCAACAGAACATTTTATGACATTTAGTAGCCATCAGTGCTAATAAACAACTTCTAAAAGTTATTCTGAACATATTAGAAGCTGACTCCCAGTCTGCAGGTTGAACAGAATGAATCTAAACATAAATCACTGGCCTCCTGTAGAGACTCACCATGTGCGGTAGAATGAACTCTGCTGGTTAAACTGGAGCTCATCCCAGATGGAGAGATGTGACTCAGATTCGTGGGCAGTTGGTGCCATTCTGAGGTTTAAAATAGATGATTGGAAACAAGAATTAAATAGCTCTTGGAGTGTCCCGAAGTCGACAACAGATGCTTGCATGAGCTTTTTAAAGCGTTAGTTACTCACCCACAGGGAGTCTGAAGGAGGAGACGTTACCTATTTGAAAGGGAAGAAGAAATGGAAACACAAAAAATGCCAGAGAGCAGGGAGTAAACATCTTTAAAAAAAAAAAAAAATAAGAAGGCTTTTCTGAGATGTTCAGACGTTACTTGTGATGCCAGTTTCTGAAACTCATCACCTTCCTCAGACTTTAACTCAGAATCTGAGAACTGTCCTGCAGCTCTTTTCTGCCACGCTGAAATAATCTTACCTCTCAAGTCTTATTTTTCTTCACGGCAGCCTAAGAATATGTTAACTTTCAGAATTTAACCAACCTCCAACATAAGTGTGTAAAACAGGACTCACCACTGAACAAAATAATACATCAACAGCTTTCTAGTGTGTTCTCTAAAGCCTGTCCTCTACCCAGGTAAAGTTTGGGCCCTCCAGCTCCAGAAATCTGATGACTGATGGAAAACTCAACGTCTCAGGTACACTGTTTCTATCCTGTGTATAGTTTATTTTTTAATTAAAAAGTTTACAGTATTGTGGCATTTAAAAAGGACAAAAGACATCTGTCCTTATGAGTATCAAATAAAGTGTAAATTCAGGTTCTTTCCTGAGTCAACGCTGCCACCTGCTGGTTGGTTCACATGCTATCAGTGAATGACAGACCAGTGCATCAGTGTGTGCAGTGAACAAACCTCTGTGTGGTCCCTCCATGATGGTCTGGTTGAAGAGTGGTGTGATGGAGCCAACCTCCCACAGCTCCGGCATCTCTCTGCCTGGACAAAACACACACATCGCGTTCACACATTGACTCTCTGAGGTGCATTAAAAATTGTTTTAAACTCTCTTAGCTCCTGAAAAGACACTTTAGAGTTGAACAATATCTCATAGCTGCACGAACTGTAGCACCTTTGTTTTAATGGCACAGAGCAAGGTACAAAACATGCAACCTGTTATTTAGCTAAGCAGCAAATATGTAAGCTTCCTGACAAAACCTTATTTAGATCCACTGAAATGCTATCAAACAATCTGCCTCACAGATTTTAATCAGAAATTATAATCAACAAGTAAAACTTAATCAAAGTGTTGCAATATTTAAAAAGTACTGAAGGCAACAGACTTAAAGGGGAAGTTCAGATCATCTGAAGTCGGGTTTTATGAGGCACTAATCCCCAGTCAGTGTGTCAGCTCTACTTACCCATCTTACCCGCCATCACACAGATGTAAATACAGTCAGAGTTGTTCCTCTGGCTTACTGAGGCACACAAACAGAAAACACACTGTAGGTATATCACATTATGAAGACGAGCCTGCAAACAACAGGGAGTATATGATGTTAATATTAAGTCACATCCACCCACCTGATAATATGGAGGCAGATTTAAAGAGCTCATGCAGGTAACTTGTCGAGTTTCCCATCACATCCAACAGAATGGCCGTGAAGTCTGATGAAAAACAAGTGAAACTACAATTACCACCTCGCTGTTGTATGCCTCCAAGAACCACTCAAGTTTCTCTAACAGTTTATATCCATGTCTGTGAAAACATGGATGCTTCATACACATCTTCCCTCCAGCAGCACACAAGATCTATACAATCAGCAGTTTTTAAGGTGGACACCCAAAGTTAGAGTCATCAGTTCAGTATCTGACCAAATGTCTCCCCTTCTGTTCCTGAGATATGATGTTGAGTCATGGCCAGAGGTGTTTAATGTAGAATATCATGATGTCACAGTGAAGCTGACCTTTGACCTTTTGGATATAAAATGTCATCACTTCATCATTTTATTCCATAAGATGTTTGTGTGAAATTTTGTCGTAATCTGTGAAAGAATTATCTAGTTTTTGCTAAAAACATGTTTTATGAGGTCACACTGACCTTGACCTTTCACCACAACATTCTGATCAGTTTAAGATTCAGTCCAAGTGGATGTTTGTGACAAATTTAAAGAAATTCCCTGAAGTTGTTCTTGATATATCACATTCACGAGAATGAGACAGATGCAAGGTCACATTGACTTGACATCTGACCACCCAAATTCATTCAGTTCATTGCTAAGTCTAAGTGAACATTTCTGCCAAATTTGAAGAAATTCCCTCATGCTGTTCTGAGATATTGTGTTCACAGGAATGAGATGGATGCAAGATCACTGCAAACTTGACATCTGACCACCAAAATCCAATCAGTTTACTGTTGAGTCCACGTGAACATTTGTGGCAAATTTGAAGAAATTCCCTCAAGCTGTTTTTGAGATGTCGTGTTCTCAAGAATGAGATGGATGCAAGGTCACAGCGACCTCGACCCACGAGTCCAAGTCAACCTTTGTGCCACATTTGAAGAACTTCCCTCAAGGCTATCTTGAGATATCGCATTTACAAGAATGAGACAGATGCAAGGTCACAGTTACCTTGACCTTTGACCTACAACCATCAAAAACTAACCAGTTTATTGTGGAGTCCAAGTGAATATTTGTGCCAAATTTGAAGAAATTCCAAGGAGGTGCTCTTGAAATATGGTGTTCACAAGGATGGCACGAACGGACAACCAAGAAATGTATTGCCTGCGGTCACGACTATCGCCGACGCGGAGACACAAAAAGATTGTTAACTAAATTAATCCTCAAAATTTAAATCAAATGTTTGCAGTTTCTCACCCGTTAGATCGTTGGTCTCATTAGAGACACAGTAGCAGAATCTTCTCCTGAACTTGTTGCTTTCTAAACTTCTAATGTTGGAAACTGCAAAACACAAAACAAAGATAGAGATTTACAGAGAGTTTGAACCTGCCTGTAAGAGATTAGACTGATCTAACGGAGAAAAAGAAACCATTTGTGTTGTGTTTGTCATTTGTTTTATTTTTCTAAATAGATATTTACACATATCCTGTACCATATATACATAAACATTTAAGAAGATTCCATGCAGTTCAAACTGAGTAACCCATGAAATTGTTAATCTGCAGCCATGCTGTCTCCAATCTCTACATAATCAGTGCATTCATTTTTCTTTCAGCTAAGTATGCTTTATTTCAATCAGCATTAATAATGTCTGAGCATGTGTGGGGTTATAATACTGCTCCAGAGGATTATACAGTGTGTGACACAGTGAAAACACTTTGTTCATTACAGGTAGTAACACATCCAAACCACTTGATGGCACTACTGACAAAGTTATCTTTACTATAGCTCTGGACACAGTCTTGCTGACTGGTCTCAGTGCGCTGCCTCTTGTGTTGAGCTCCAACACAAAGTCTGGTGTGACTGTTTGTACACTTTGATGTGTAGATACTGAGCAGCTTCAGAGGAGGAAGAAGTTTGAATGAAGTTAATATTTACTGTTGTAGACCAGCAGGGTGAGTTTATGGAGAGCCAGAGAGCTGTAGGACGTCACACTGAGGAGGGAGAAGAGCTGCTGGGAGCCTGGAGGACGAGAAGAGACACAGGAGGAACACTTGACCTTCTGAAGTTTATGTTGTATCATGATGTATCTGCATAAAAGTGTTTAAATTACAGATACAGTATGTTTGTTAAAGGCAAGAACAATGGTCAGTAACAGAGGTCTGGCTGAGACAAATGCTGGCGCAGTAACTGAATACAAGTTAGATGAGAATGTTTTGCAAGAAAATAAAAATACAAACTGAACATCATGTAACATTTTCTCATCTAAACTTTTTCTTTTGGGAAAATGTTGTGAGGTAAAAACTCAAACGGATCTTACCTAAAAAGTTTAATATTGAAACCTGAACTGAATAAAAAACTAATTGAGGTTTGAATTAAGTGAAGTGTAGTTATAATTTACATTTAAATGTCTGGAAGAACTGATTTAAAAAGCAGAAAAAAACCCCAACTAATTCAGAGTTTCTAAAAACGACAACACTCTAAGTTGATATTTTAAAACTTAACTCCAACTATTCAAACCTCACACTTATACATATAGACCTGGAACATACAATTTTTCACAGTTTTTATTATCAAGATCTACTTTTAGCTCGTCAACATCTCTTTGTCATGGAAAAAAAAGGTTGTTGATGAACATTTTTCTTCATAGTTTTCGTTAACAAGATCAACACTGCTGGAAATTGATGTGTGAGTGTTCGTATGTCAATATGCTAAGTATAAAAAATCCTCTCAGGAGACACTTAAAGTGATCAAATTTACACGTCATATACCCTCAATGTTACCACAAAGGCAGGCCCCGTAGTTGTACGCCTCCATGAACAAGTCAGGTTTCTCTTACAGTTTACATCCATGTCTGCGAAAACATGGATGCTTCAAAGCCACTGTCCCCACGACAGCACAGTTTCAAGGTGGACACCCAAAACTAGTCAGCTAGTCACCACTTCAGTATCGGAGCAAATGTCTCCCCTTCTGTTCCTGAGATATGATGCTGAGTAATGGCCAGACAAGTGTTTATGCAGAACATATATATGTTTTTTATATATTTATATATATATATATATATATATATATGTATATATGTATATATGATATATATTAAGTGTCATCACTTCATCATATTATTCTATAAGATGTTTGAGTGTGTAAGAATTTGTGTAAGAATTTTTGAGTTATGGCCAAAAACATGCTTTGTGAAGTCACAATGACCTTGACCTTTGAACTTTGACCACCAAATTCTAATCAGTATATTCCTCAGTCTAAGTGGACATTAGAGTCAAATTTGAAGAAATTCCCTCAAGGCGTTCTCGAGATATAGTTTACAAGAAGGAGACAGATGCAAGGTCACAGTGACTTTGATCTTTGACCACTAAAATCTTATCAGTTCATCGTTGAATCCAAGTGAACGTTTGTGCCAAATCTAAAGAAATGCCTTCAAGGTATTCTATAGATATTGCGTTCATAAGAATGATACAGATAAGGTCACAGTGACTTTAACCTTTGACGTATGACCACCAAAATCTAATCAGTTCATTGTTCAGTCCAAAGGGATGTTTGAACCAAATTTAAAGGCGCTGTATGTAAGAATGTGGCCAAAACGGTTACTGCACTCAAATTCAAAATACTGCCGCGAGTCGTGTCCGCCCCCCCCTCCCCTACAGATTCGAGGTTGCTGGACAGCGGCACACTGGAGACTGATTTGTTTGTCCACGGGCAGCTGCCGTGGCAGGGTCGCGTCGCTGCGTCCTTGATCTTCGGTTTTCCAGCGGACTGTTGGAGCAAGTCCGGCTTCTCTGCTGCTAACGCTGCTGCCGGGATACAGCTGAGGAGACTGCTAATGCTATGTACCGGGACACTGCTAATGCTGCTTGCCATGCTGCTGTAGCTCAGTCGTAACTGTAACTGATGCTGAGACTGTACTGACTGTGTGACTGGTAGACGGCGGTGGGTGGCGCAACAGGCCAAAACACAAATTCAAAACATAAACATGATTTGCGGACCATAAAATATTTTTTTAAATGCGAATATTTTGGCTGTACTATTGTTGTCGGTGAGATCAGTATGTTATATGAACATTATTCCTTAGTCTCTGTGACATATTAGGAGGATTCTACGACTATTTGCTTTAGATTTCTTACATATAGCTCCTTTAAATAAATGTGCTGAAGGTATACTTGAGAGATTGCAGTCACGAGTCAGTGGCCCATGATGCAACGGAGGAGAGGTGAATTTAGTTTGTAAGATATTTTAGATACTGAAAAATGTTTGATTGCAACTAAAACACTGTGTTCTGTAGATTATAGAGATTAATGTGGACATTGTTTGTGGTCGGATTTGTTTTTGTTTATTTTCTCAAATGTCACATTTCATCGCTTTCACCGGCACAAAACAAATCCCATTCACCTCCACTGTATCAGGATGCAGGCTGACCGTTCAGAGGCTAATGTCGCACAATCTCAGCAAGTAAAAGTATCTCCACTGATAGACACCATTAGCAGTGACTTATAAATGTTGTATTTGAGTGAACTGGTCCTTTAAATCTGACATTTCATGAAGCTAAGCAGTCTGCAGTTTGACCTCTGTAGAGGGAAAAAAAGAAGCTGTGGTTTAATTTTGACAGACACGACAGATTTACAGCTCAGAATTGATCTCCACATGAGTGATATTATGACAACGTACCCGATTGGCTTGTATTTATTAGAGTATTGACGAGGGGAGTGAGGTCGATGGCAGCTGGATCGATGTGCTCTGCTGGGATATCTGGGAAATAAAAGCAGACAGTAAAGTCAATGGGAGCTTATGCTGGTTTTAATCTCTATTATGTAATTAGCAGCATCAGCAAAATGTGGCTGTGTAATGACAAGATGTGATAAAAACACAAAAGAGCAACAATTACCCAGATGAGTTAGTCCCTGAGGTGATATCTATCTAAACATCAGGAGGTCAGTGTGAGGACTGGTCTCATAGATTGAGTTCATAGTGGCTTTTTATTAAATATTATTTAGTAATGTTATAATTTAGATTGTGAGGGTGTTCAGTTTTCAGTCACATTACTATGTTGGCTACTACATTTGTAATAAAACTTGAAAGCATTTGTTAAAATGTTTTTTAATTAAAGGAACAGTTCACCTCAAAATCAAAAATGCATGATTTCCTCTTACCAGTAGTGCTTACTCAAGATAAACCACAGACCTTGTTGTGAGCAGTTTCATGTATGAACTATTTTCTTTTCACCAAACTACACCTAGCAACCATATCCCTGCGCAGAAGGAGGTGTGCATCTACTGCTAGCTCACCTAGCACCACTGAGCTAGCTCACGTTACAGCTCAGCTGAGAAGGATGCCATTAATGTTTACATCAAACGCTGTCTTTTTGTCCATGAGTAGATGCACTCTTCCTTCTGCGCAGTGATACGGTTAGCAGCATCTCACACCAAAACTATCCAGACAGATAAACAGCACTACAGGTAAGTTTTTTGTTTATTTTTTTAAGTCAAAGTATTTGATCATTTTCACACTTCAATGATGCTTCGTTTAATACGGAAGCGTATTGCATTCACTTAAAAAAAGTCTTGTTTTTCTGAGTAATTCTTTCTGTTTCTTGGAGTAATTTATTTATTTTTCTGTTTTTTTGGGGTAATTTTTTTCTTGAACAAGGAGACGAGATACTTCAAAATCTCGCGAGAAGCTCCCACCTGGCACCTGCAAGTGACCCCTGCATCCATGGTGACTCCTGCTCATGGATGTATTTTGCATCTGTGCTCCTGCTCCTAGACAATTTTGAAGTATCTCGTCTCCTCGTTCAGGAAAAAAAAATTAACATGAAAAACAGAAAAAAATTACCCCCCCCCCAAAAAAATTGAAAATAATAATAATAATAATAATAATAATAATAATAATGCTATCAGTCAAATTTATCTTTAACTTTGCTGACTGTGTATTTTTTCTTTTTTTTATATTAAAAAATATTCCCCTAATACAGTTTAGGGAGGTAGAGTGGGAATAAAGCAAGAATGAAAAGAAATTGAAATTATTTAGGAGGTAGGGAGCATTACTGCTCCTCAAAAACAAAATCATTAAGCACCACTCCTATCAGCTGTTTGCAGCTTCAGAGTTAAATGCCTAATAAACTAAAATTTATTACCAACTCAACCTGTTAATAATATCGAAGCAGCAAATTAACAAACAGACTAATACAGTTTCACGTCAACAACAAGCTGCACTTTAGGCAAACAATAGAACAGTGTGTCACAGTGTAGTGGTGTGAATTACCATGCTGATGTGATGCTCCATCATATATCAAGGAAAACTTGTATTTCTTTGTCCATGCTGTTTGTTTATTCAAATTAAGTATATTAGGGTGTGAACTTTTGTGTGGACTGACGTCACATTTCCCTTTAACTCAGCAGGTGAAGCCTGACAGACGCAAGAACGCAAAAGCAAAACAAGCAGAATGATGAGATGCGACTGACCTGTGGAGTCCAGGACGTCTCTTTTGTGTCTCCCCTCCTGAAGTCTGTCTGTTAACACTGTGGAGAAGTCATGCAGGTGTTTATAATGTACATTTAATTATTATTTCTGACGGTTACTGATTCGGAGGAGCCCTTCTGTGCAGAGTTTGCATGCTCTCTTCGTGTCAGCGTGGGTTTCCTCCAGGTGCTCCAGCTTCCTCCCACAGTCCAAAGACATGCAAGTTAATTGGTGACTCTAATTGTCCGTAGGTGTGAATGTGAGTGTGAATGGTTGTCTGTCTCTATGTGTCAGCCCTGTGATAGTCTGGTGACCTGTCCAGGGTGAACCCTGCCTCTCACCCAGTGTCAGCTGGGATAGGCTCCAGCAGGATAAGCAGTTATGGAATATGAATGAGCCGTGTAACTTTTAGCTTCTACCTTGTATCAGTTTGCTGTGTTATTTTTTTCTCTTTGTTTTTTGAGGCATTTTGTTATGCACCATTTATTTATTATAATTACCACGACTTTTATTACTACAACTAATGAATAGTCCCTGAAAGCTGCAGCCTTCATGACATGAAGAGCTGCAAAAAACTGCATCACACTGTAAAGCATCCAATACAACAGACCTGTCAGAAAAGGAAACTTTGAACTGTTCTGGATTTCACTGAATTGATAATATTACAAAACCATAATTACAAGAAACAAAAAGATGTTTTTAAAACTTGTTGCAGTGAATCATTAAAACAATCGATGAAGTTAGGAAGGAAAGCCAAGCCATGATACGCAGACCCACCTTGGCTGAAGAGGATGAGGAGTGAAATGGTCGAGACACAGATTATAAAACAGAGGCGTGGATGCTGTAAAGCGGCCATGACCCTGCTGAAGCACCACTGCAACAACAAAAAGACAAAAACAAACTGATAAGGTAAGGAAAAGAAAGCTTTATTAATCCCTGATGGGGAAACTCATTTGCCACCAGAAGCAATTCAGCTCATACGGACAACAATGTGCACAGTACATTCACAGTACAACAAACACAAATGCAGGATACAACAATTAAACCACTGTAAATGGCCATCTGAGACCTAATCAACAGCTTCCTAAAGTGTTCATGAAAAAATCTGACAGCTGCTGAAACAAACTGGATCAACTTCTGTCCTGTTTCAGCCGCTCTTCCCCTCAGGCAAACTCAAGTCTCAGGTAAACTTTGTGCCTCAGTCAAATGGCTTCAAAGAGGTATCAAGTTTAGTGAGTGTGTGTGTGTGAAAAGCATTTTCTGGGCCCTACACAATGATGTCATCAGGCTGTGTCCTTACCACTCAAATCAGTGGACCGTGTGCTCCCCTGTGGCCTGCAGAGTAGAAAGCCGCACATTCACAGCAGCGCTGGAAACAGAGACCACCCTGGAGGTCAAATTCCTGATGAGAAACACCAAACATGCTTTCTCTGGTCCCAAATTTAACTTGAACATAAAAAATAACCACACTGAGATTCTCACGGTCCACGTGGTGACGAGACGGGATGTTCATTTCCTCAAAAGAAAAACTGTGGTATCCTTGAATTATTAAATTACAATGCAAAACTACATCCTCTGTCTTGTTGCATCCATCTGCAACTATTTCAACAGGAAAACAATTTGTCATACATTAAAATTTCATTTTAATGGATTTCAATGACAAATCATGAGGATTATCTACAAGTTAAATAAATAACTATTAAAGTAAAGCAGTCCACACAGAGAGTCTGAAGACAGATTGAATCATGATACCTTAATATTGATTAGAGAAAATGTATTAATTTAAGGTGGAAACATTTTTCATGTACTCGTCAGTTTTGAGATTTTAGACTGTTTTGCTTCACTAGCATGTCTTCTTTTAGATTACTGGAAAGAAGATGTCAAAAATACCCATTTTGATTTATGTTAGTTCTGAACATTTATGGGAAAGGTGTTTATTCATTCAGATAATGCCTCATTTTCATATTTACACAAAATGTCAGAAAACTTTAATACAAAAAACGTCTGTCTTAATGTAAGTAATTAACTTGGGAAGTTTCATGGTGATATCTGGTAGTTCAAATTTTATCGTAGCGTCTCATTTTTGGTCAGAACGTCTATGAAATTTTACAATACACATCTTTAAAGGCCATTTTCTCAAAATGAGAATTTTCTCATTCTCGAAAAAATCAAAATCTAAAAATCTCTTATACTCTGAGTCAAAAATCTCAATTTCAGAAGCACTCACATACACAAAATTTTCCGGTTACATTCCTGGTTATATTTCAAAATGGGTTTATTCATAATATTCATAACCTCATCTACAGAAGATTGTATTCCTAAAAATCCTTTTTTTTTATAGCTGTTGACAGTATTTTCAAATTTATGGTGTGATAAAAAGAGATATCCAAAAATGCCCTCTATAAAAATCTTTGAATCAAATATCTCACCAAAATGAAACTGGAATTTTGAGCCTGGTTCAAACCTACATTTTCAGAAAACTTGTAATACAAAAAAATAATTGTCATACTATAAGTAATCAACCAGGGGAGTTTCCTGGTCAAAAATGTTGCTCTAGTGTCTTATTTTTGTCTAAAAATATAAAAATGTCTTTAACTGTGAGACAAAAATCTCAACTTCAGTAACACTGACATACACCACATTTTCCAGTTACATTCCATTTTTGATTCTCAAGGTTTTTACAGACATGTTTATTCATACATCATTTCATAACCTGACTTGTTGAACGTTTTATTCCTAAACACATGGGGAACACATCATTTTTTTTTTTTTTTAGAGCTGTTGACAGTATTTTCAGATTTATGGAGTGATAAAAAGAGAAATCCAAAATTCCCTCTGCAAACGTCTTCGACTTAAATATGTGAACAAACAATAGTTTTGAACCTGACTCATCCAGTGTTCAGATTTTTGTTCAGGTAATGTATAAAAATAAGCACGTATAGTGTCCAATTTGCATTTTAAACATAAAATTTTAGAAAACCTGTAATACAAAAAATAATAGTGTTACATATATATATATATATATATTAGTTAAAATCCTCTTCAACTAGGGCGTTGTCCCATTTAAAGGTTTAAATAGCTAAATTAACAGGATAAAATAGGTGTATCAAGTGAAAAAAAGACACACATGAGGGAGTCAGGCTCTGTAAGACACTACTAGAAGAAGGTGTAGTTTTAAAAGCTGAATTTCATGAGTTTGAAATAGAGAGCACAAATTCTGACACTTACTGAATATAATGTTGGCTCTCTGACACGCTCATGTGTTTGTCCAAAGCTAAAATGCTAAACTTTTCAAACCGTTAAATAATTACACATTTTTAAACCCTATGACCCTCTGAAAGAATTCAAACACACACAACTCACCGGCTCCTTGGATCCTCCTGTACTCTGTGCTGCGCCGATGATCCCCCAGCAGCATCAAACCTCACCCCGTGTATCACACACCTACGGTCAGATAAGGATTAAGCGATGCCTGTTTTCCCCCCTCTGAACAGCAGAGGTTGGCAGCAGGCTGGCAGCTTACTGAGCTCTGTGCAAAAAAAAGAAAAAGCCCACAACAAAACATGGTGTCTGGCTGCAGGCTGGGCACTGATCCCTAACCCACTGCACCACATCCACTGCAAAAAATATCACACTTAAGGTCAAAATCAGCTGAATTCATCCCTCTGCTGTGCAAACCTGCACTCGTTTTTTAATGATATTCTTTGTGGCACCAAATCAGAATCATAACCTGGGGCGGGTTACAGTATGAAACAATGGGCCCCTGAGCACAGATATGCAAAAGGCCCCACCAGCTAAACCAGACAAGAGCAGGACACACAGACTTTGTAGTGGTTTTGCCTTTTTTGAAGAAGAAGAAGAAGAAGAAGAAGAAGAAGATAAATTTTATCAATCCCTGAGGGGAATTCAATTTTTATTCACTTTGTTGTCATATACACACACAAGCCTGAAATAGTACATACATGCATTACATGGAGAGATGTGTGAGGGGGGCTGCCTTGGACAGGTGCCCCGAGCAGTTGGAGGTTAAGCGCCTTGCTCAAGGGCACCTCTGCAGCGCCCAGGAAGTGAACTGGCACCTCTCCAGCTACCAGTCCACGCTCCATACTTGGTCCACATGGGGACTTGAACTAGTGACCCCCCAGTTCCCAAGCCAAGTCCCTATAGACTGTAAACCCCAAATCCATCCATGACACAAAATGTAATGTAAAGTTGACACAAATGCCCCAGACTGTCAAAATGACATAAAAACATTATGTTCATTTGACACAAAAACTCACCCCTTGTAAGCTTAACAAAGTTTTTTATATTAAGTCAGCAATTTTTAGGTTTTGAGTTATTTGACTAATATTTATAAAGCTGAATTTAATTAGTTTAAGGCCAATAAACAACACTATCCTTGTGCACTTAACAACACGTGGCACGTTGGGGCTAAATGGGTGGAGTTTCCCAGCATGCTGTGAGACAATGTGTTTAAGGCCATAAGCTGAAGAACACTAGCTGTGTTCGAAATCACTCCCTATCACGGATATAGTGCACTATATAGTGTGTTCGCCATTTTGTAGTGTTGTTCGAATTCTCCGCTGTTAATTTCATTCACTATATAGTGGACCATAAAATACCCACAATGCACAGCAAATGTGAAGGAACAAACAATGTACCCTACATTTTACTCCTGTATACCACAATGCAATGCGGTCGTCTTTTGCCAGAGGAGAAGAAGAACAACAACCGCAAAGATGGCACAAAAAGAAAAGAAACAAATAGGATGCTAGCTGGTAACGTTAGCTCACGAGCTAACAATAGCCACTTAGCTCTCACGAGCCAGGTAGCTTGTAGCTCGTGCACTATCGTGGGCTATTACAGCTCACAGTGCAGACACACATCTGTAGCTGACAAAACCAAACGTCCACATCATTGACATTTCAACAATTTATTGACAAAAAGTACAACCACCATACAGTTCGGTCATCCTCAAAGCTCCCGGTTTGTTTACATGATGCTCGGCGCGTCCACTTGCTTCACAGGAGTATGCGGCGCAGCTACTGACGCAACTATGTTCAGAAAATTTCAGTTAGTGTCCGAAATCTCATTCAGTCGTTCCCCATGTAGTGCACTATATAGTAAACACGAAATAGGGAATAGTGAGTGAATGAGTGAGTGGACGGTTTCGAACACAGCTACTGTGTTTAAATGTGTTATATACACAGTTAGTGACCTCCCACCTGCGTGGATATTAGAGTGTTAAACATAAAGGTGTGCTGAGGTGAATTAAAGAGCACTTCCTGGTTCAGAGTTCATTCTCTCTTAGATGGATGGTTCAAGCTGTCCAAAAAAAAATTAAGCTGAGCGAACGAACTGGGGCTTACAGCGTGGAGACTGAGCTGCCGCCGCCCCACTGTTGTTGTTTTGCGTCTCTTTGTTGTCGTTTGGCATCTTGTCTGCTTTGTACTTACCCAACATCACCTGTCAGTCTGAGGTATTGTGGCATCTTCTTTCTGAGTGCTTAAAGAGGAAATGCAGTTCCCAGTTAATAGTGCTTTGGTAATTGTATGTCAATAACTTTACTTCAACATGTAGTTAATGTGATACCTGTGTCACACTGAAATATGGTAATGTAAATACTGTGGGATGTTTAAATGTAATGCAGACGTCTAACAAACTTCACTACAGGGCTTTAACTGAGTGAGGTTCTAGAGTTTGACAAAATGTGAATTTATTTACACACAAAGATGATGACTACAGCCTGTGGTGAAAGATTATAATGGTTCCTGTCTCTTAGAGGTGAAGTGGATCAGTACAGCTTCAGGTTTTGTTAAATTAAGAAAATTGATGTGTCAACGTTTTCTTCTTTGACAGTAAAACCTGAGGCCTGCCTGGAAACAGCTGCTGAAGAAGCTTGTTGACTGAACATTGTGTGCACCAAACATGGAAGTGACAGTTTTAGTTTGTACCTTTCTCGCTCTTACCTGGTGGAAGAATTTCTCTTTGCACTTGTGCTTCTGTCTGTTTACTTCCTTGTCTCAGGAGGCTGCTGTCCAATCAGCTGCTCCGATCAGCCCTTTGAGTGACATCTGACTGAAAGGCCCGCCCACCAACTCTTACCAACCAGTGACCAGTACAGAGGTGCCTGCCATGTTTCTTTCTTTTAATTTCACTGTCATACTGACACAAATGTCATGTTATGTAATGTGATTTTTTTTTTTTTGTATTTGTTTGCTTTTTTTTTTTAACTAGTATTTTTTTTTACATATAGATTCCACATATAAACATAAAATTCATCCATACCAAACCCATGAGACAATAAAATGAAAAAACAGTCCATAAAACAGATTTCAATCAGTGGGTAAATGTACTTAATATGAGTTCAAGTATCATCACGAGTAAAATATGTCATCATTTGTACTTGTGTTAATGAAAAATCCTCATTAGGGTCACTATGTTTAACACACCTGATTAAAACGATGTCCGCAGGGCGGCTGGGCTCAGCCTTAGGGATAGGGTGAGGAGCTCAGACATCCGGGAGGGACTCGGAGTAGAGCCGCTGCTCCTCCACATCGAGAGGAGCCAGTTGAGGTGGTTCGGGCATCTGGTAAGGATGCCTTCCGGACGCCTCCCTTGGGAGGTGTTTCGGGCATGTCCAACCGGGAGGAGACCTCGGGGCCGCCCCAGAACACGCTGGAGGGACTACATCACCCGGCTGGCCTGGGAACGCCTCGGGGTTCCCGCGGAAGAGCTGACAGAAGTGGCAGGGGAGAGGACTATCTGGGCTTCTTTGCTGAGGCTGCTGCCCCCGCGACCCGGACCCGGTTAAGCGGAGGACGACGATGACGACGACGATTAAAACGATCTGAAGCTGTTCTGTAAATACTTTTCTCATAGGTAATAAATATTGCAACTTCTGCTTAATCTATATAACTTCTGATTAGGCCCTACCCACATTTGATTTAAACCCCACCCACTTCTGGCACGAGCTCCACCCATTCCGATAACAGATACATCAATTGACCTATGGCTAAGCCCCGCCCTCAAACGCTATGAGCCAATCACAGTGCGTATAGCCATCCCCATACACTGGGACATTCTCTGCCTGGACATCCATTGAAATGCATTACAGAAAGTCAGTTTTGTTCGGTTTTATGAGCTTTTTCTGAGATTTGAAGTTTGAAAATGGTCAAACGGTGTGCATGGGGTACATGCAACTCTGACACAAGGTATCCTGAGAGGCTGGGCGACCAGGTGTATTTTTTACACTTTAAACCACATCTCAACCGAGAAAAGTGTCTCCTTTGGATAAAGTTGTGTGGTAACGTTAGACCACAACATCAACTCAACGTGAATAAGATTAACAATGATGTCTACATCTGTTCTAAGGTAAGTCAACATTGTGTTTGAGGCAACATATTGTCACTTTGCTGGAAAGAAATATAAAGTTATCTTTAACATCTCTAGCTAACGTTAGCTAAAGTTAGCCTAACGTTAGCTCCTAGCTGCGTTGTTCATCATGTCACCTTGTTTGCTGGGAGTTCATTAGCCTATTTTGTTCTAGTTTTGTACTTTGGTGATCGTACATCATTGTTAGCTGTTGTCCAAAGGGCTCTAGTTAAGCTAACGTTAACTTCTGGAGCTTAGCTTCATTAACTTATCTTTAATGGCAGAGATAACAAAGGTTGGCAAACGTTATGCTGAATGATTCAGTGTAAATACTGTAGCACCAAACTAACGGAGAGACACTCTTGGTAAAGATGGTAAAAAGGCCGTTATCCTTTTCTCATATTCTGAGCCAAAAACCTTAACTTCAGTGGCACTTTAACTTGTTGTCTTTGATGGCGACGGCAACCAGATGCGGTTCACAAGCGTACACTGTGACCTGTACATTTTGGCTTGTAATTTAAGCTTTTCATCGACCTTCTCAACAATAAAATGATGAATATATCCCTCCAATGCGTAGTTTAGGCCCTTTTGGTTACTTCTCAATGACATCTGATCGTTATGTCTCCAAAAATCATCAATTGCCTCCTGTGAAATGCCGTGTACTGTGACACCTGCCATAGTGCCGCTCACTGAATGTTGATAGTTTGTCCGAGTGAGTGGAGGGGGGCGTGGCTTAGCCATAGGTTAATTCAGTTGGTTGAACAGATAGAGACACAGATACAGATGATGGTGTACTCACTCATCCCTAGATTCCAGTGGAAAGTTTCTTCAAGTTCCCAGAATGTACTTAAATATAGGGCAAAAAACATCCTAAAAATGTTTGGTGCTAACCTTCCTAAAACGTTTTTGATAACACTGTTATAGCATTACGCCCTAACATTCTGAAAACATTTTCTGCAGTGTTTTTTTGTTTGTTTGTTCCTAAAACATTTCTGCAAAGGCTTTATTCCAACAAGTAGTTCAAGATTATCAAAACATACACAGCTGGTTCATTATTCAGGACTTCAGGGGCAGTGTGTCGTTATTACTATTGCAGCAATTACTATTACTATTTTTCTGGAAATCATTAGCAGTCATGCTGTTTGTTTACGTCGCCCATTCTGACCCACACTTGAAGACATGTCTACATTTTAATTAAACCTTATTTAAAGCTTTTAAATGCCACATATTATAAATGTTTTAAATGCATTACTGTAAAATTCCCTAAAGTCTTTTTGTGTATGTAAACTCTTTTAAAAAGTCACTTTCAGCTAAAGTTTGTTTTGAATTTCACAAGTTAGATTATTTTAAAATGAGCCATTTTCATAAGGTTTGAGCTGCTTGTTTTCCATAATTACACCATGAAGTGATATTTGGGGTTTGAATTATTATGTAGCCTGATATCAGATGGCTTGACTAAAAAATGTGTTTTGGATTCACCTGGACACGCTGCTGCTGTGGCAATTGAAGCTTTCAGTTTATTTTAATCAGAAAATGGTGCGACATGTTGGAGAGGGACACTTCTTGCAGTGTGGGTAAATGGCCGTAATAAGCCGCTGGAGTGACATACGAGCCGTGGGGAAGATCAGTGAATAAGAGGAGTGAATGCGAGTCTTTAATGACGGGGGATTGCTGGGCACTTTGGTCGCCTTGGCATTCACATGCAGACACACTGAGGCACACAGCAGTAATTGGCAGAGGAGGAAACAGGGCTGCGGAGGGCCTGGGAACAGCTGCCCTCAGGAAAAGACACACTGACTTTTAGCTAATAACTAAAACATAACTGAAATGAAATGAACTAAAGGAGTCAAGAATTAACTGGCACATATATACATTGTGGCTGCGTTCCCACTGTGGGCCTCCATTCCATAATGCTCATTAATCCTCACAGACATTGAAAAAATTGTATTTGCATGGTTTCTGAATTTAAAAAGCACAAAAAAGAATGTTAAAAAATGTTTTAAAATGCAAAGCCATGTGCACACAAGTCCCTAAATGCATATAAATTAGAGACTTAAAGAAACAAGGCAAACATTTAATCATTAATAAGTTCATACAACTGACTGTGGCTGAAAACCTACTTTTCCTTACAGATGTCATGGTGGAAAGTGAATCTGTGTGTTACTGCAGAAGAAACTAAAACTGCAGGGTTGCTGTGGTTACACAGCCCAGTCGCCAGACAAAATGATGGCACTGTGCATTTCTGCATCTCTAAAGTGACGTAGTATCTGAGCTGACTTTGTCATTGGAAGATGGTCATCAGGTGGTTTTTTACCCACCTATTGAGGGTATTTTTTTATTGACCCACTGCTTTTTTCCAGCAGGGAGTGTGCCACAGCAAGCAGTTGAAATATCAAGACATCGCTGTTTTCCCGTGGGGATTGTGCCTCGCAAAACTGAGTGTTTTGAAGGGCCATGTTTCGCTGCCATGTTTCTACAGTAGCCCAGAATGGACAAACCAAACAGTGGCTCTAGAGAGGGACATTCACTTGCTTGTATCAAACACTGATTTGTAACATCAAACTGTTTTATTCAGTGTTTTTATTGGCTTAAATCACCTGCTCTGTTTGTTCTGGAGAGGAAGAGACCTCTGTGAACAATTTGGCTCCCTGCAAGACCCTCCTGAATGTCTGGTTTTAGTTGAACTCAAGTTGGTTTGCCAAGGTTTGCCGAGACCTTCTTGAAGAGGTGGTCTTGGTCCGGTTACAAAGGAACTCTGGTGCGGTAGGTTTGTGGTGAGAACGTGTTCAGACCTGGATGTGAACCAACTGCAGTCACATGACGCATTGTTTGGATTAAACATGAGCATGTTACAGTCCTGGAGGATTATTAATGTGCACCTCCTCCTGTACTGCCTTAATATGCACATTCAGCACATCCAATGCATCAAAACATTGTTTTCTAGTTGGAGCCGCGCCTCGTTTTCAAACTGTATGGTTTGACTAAAATGAACAATGACAGCAATATAGTCCACGATGAGCAGCGCTAAAATCAACCTGCGTAGTTGTCCCTCCATTGTGACATTAGAAAGTGTCACATTTATCTTGCAAGTGTACTCTTCTTCAACGTTTGCTTTACTTCCTGGATTTTTCCCACATGGAAATTCTGACCAATCAAGAGCAGCTTTCTCACACAAGGCATTTGATCTGGTCCTCTTGTAAATGCTGCCTTGAGAACACGAACCAACTCTAGGCAATTATACAACTTTGGAACAACATTAGTCCCTGATTCAGACAACTTCAAGACAATTCTCTGAAAGCACCCTATAAGCTTAGCACACATTTGCACGTACCATTAAAGGGGGCCGTCTGCAACGTGCCAAACAGGGAAGGACAAACATGTTTTTACCACTTTTAACCACTCAATCTGTTTGTTTATTTAGAGAGGAAGAGACCCCTGCGGAATATTCAGCTCAAGATAAAACCCTCCTGAACAATGAACACTGATGGTTTTCTAACCACGAGTTCAAGCTTCATCTGGTAGCAATCTGCAGTCCTCACCACTAGATGGCACTAAATCCATATTTTTCCTGCTGCCATGTCATAATTCCGACATCCCATTATTCCGAAAATTACCCATCGTTCCGAAATCTCAATGTTTCGCCATCCCATTGGTCCGACCATATTAAACCAATTGTTTCAAAGTCCCGTTGTTCCGAAATCTCAATGTTGCAATGCAAAAAGTTGAAAAAGCAAGCAGCAAGGGAAAGCAGCAAGAGACCGTTTTGTCGTGTTGGTTACTGTTGCCATGACGATAACGGTCGCCCTGTTTTGAGGAAGTAGAAACGATGTTGAAAGTTATAATTTTAACCCAAACCATGATCTTTTCCTAACCTTAACCAAGTAGTTCTTGTGCCTAAACCTAACCAGACCTTAACCATGAAAAAGTTATTTTGTAACAATGAAAAATGAGATTTCGAAACAACGGAACAATGGGTTT